ATTTTGCTCGGACTACTTGTTTTGGTTACTGTAATATTTACGTGTTTCACTCCTACCCTGTAACATTCACAATTCACTTTCTCTACTACATGGACAGCACTTAAACCAGGTTTTTAATACAGAAACTTCTGGCTGTGCAATAAATGAACTGGAAGTCCTATAGAATAGTCTGGTAAATCAGTTCTGTATTTTATTTTCTCTTCATATATTCTGAACATTACACATTCCAGCAACAAATCTGGGTGCAGAGAATGTAGATATACTAAAAATGTATAATGTATGTTTGAAAGTATCAGGATAAGCCAGTTGTACAAATACAAACCAGTAAGTAATCATTTATTGATAAGCATGTTAATATAGACATTGATAAAGTCAACAGATTAATTTTTCCTGTTAATGGTAAGTCATTGCTAGTTTTATTATCACCTGATTCAATTTTGTAATACTAGTAAGGAAGCTCTGTACAGCAGTGATCCTGTTCCTGTCTTATTAACCTACCCCCAAACTGGTCAGACTGTAGCTGAAAAAACAAAGCAAGAAACCTCCAACATTAAAAAAACCTAAAACCCCCAAAAGCAAATATCCCCAGAAAGGGATTTACTGCACTGAAAAAAGGTAAGGCATCTGCCTCTTCATCCCAGCTCCACATCAGAGTTAGGCTGTTTCAAAGAGAGCGAGAAAAGGGCTGGCAATGACTTAATTAAGAGTAAATTCAGGTAAAACAACGTCAAGTACCTCTACGTTAGGGTAACACCACATTAATTCACATCATCTGGGCTGGAACACCCAACAAATCCCATTTCTGGCAACATGGCTAATGGTGTGTGGAGGCCAATGGACATTGCTGTGTGCTGGCAGGTGTGCCCTAATGTACACATGATCCTGGAGAAGTACCATAACTGTAACCCTCACTGTAATGAGAACGGACTCTGGTGCTGCTGGGGACAGGATGAGACTGTTCTGGGTAAACGCCCTGTCAGGGCAGTCTGAGCCATAGTCATGTTACCACTTGTGTTTTGCCATATACATAAGCTCACCAGGTTCGAACAGTTTTGTTACTGAGAAACTGGCCATGAGGACCATCAGCATCAGCAGGCAAAAGGGCTAAGTAAACTGGGGTTTCAGCCCCTTCGTCTGGTGATTTAGTGGCTTTAGGACCTGCCATGTCCGTTCTCACCCATCCGGGACAGCAGGCATTGAGAAGGATGTGGTCACCTTTTCTCTTCTCGTTTATCATCCGGGCTTGAATCCTGGACAAGACCGTGACACCAATTTTGGATACCCCATAGGCAGTATTTGGCCAACCCTCCTTCTCATGCACGCCCTTCTTGGTATCTTCCACAAATTTTGTCATGAGTTTCACTAACTCTTCCTCAGTGATCGTGTTGCTGCGAAACATTTGCTGAAGTTCTTGGCTGCAGCCTGCCAGAGCTGAGCTACTTACCATACTAGAGACATTCACCACTCTGCCTGGTAAAAGAAAACAGAGACTAATTAATTACTTTTACACACACTAAACAAGCCCAAACATTGAAGTGAGCATGTTGTACAATTATGTATTCACTACTTAGGTGAATACCCATACAACATTTCATGTGGGTTGTTTTGCAGACCCTCTGGAAGATCACAGTTAACTCAATGTCAAATGTTTCCAGCAAATTCCATCATAAAGCGTAATTTAAGGTGTGAACCTGCAGAAGCTCTCTGTCAAACTTAGGGTATGCTTCCATGAAATAGCTTGTTACAACCTACAGGCATTTTTCTTAAAAACCTCGATGTACTTAAACATTAATATAGACTATACTTATAGCAGTAAACACTTATTTTTATATATCCATGCAAAGATCTGTTCATCACAAGTCTTGAAAATACTTGTATTAAAAACAAAGAAAACCCCAACCCTGAGATTTAATGTAGGTGTTTGATCCAAATATCCCTCTTTCAAATTATCTGTGATATGCCAGCAGTATTCTATGGCACTTTCAGTGCTCCCAAGATTAGGGGAACAGGAGCATTCTGTGCAGGACAGTAGCCTGATAACTACAGACTATTTGCATGTTGCTAACACCTTTTTATTATTTATGTCTATCTTTTTTGATCCTGGTCTCCTCCACTCTATTTATCACTTTTGGTGAAGCGTTTTCCTCCAGTTCCTTCGAACATCACCTAAGCATGGTAACTTAAAGTGATGGTAATCTTCAAATGCCGTTTATAACTACATCTCTCAATATTTGTAAATACTGGATACAAAGCAGAAGCCGGGACTCTAGATAGAGACAGACCAACAAGCCTGTGGAGAATGTTTCTTCAGTAGTTGCAAGCACAAACACATCACATCAAACTCAGCTGAAACATTCCATTTTTAGATACTTCCTTATGCTAGCTGTATCCTCAAAACGTCCTTTTTTAAGGAAGAACCCTTTATGTAGGCAGACGTCATGGAAAGAACATGGGTAAGTTCTCCATTTCTTCTTAAGAGTGCCATAAGAATTCCACTCCAATCCATAACAGAAGAATGGGACTGGACAGAAAGCAGATTTAAATACATACAAGAAAGAACATTTGGGACAAGAAAGCCCACAAGCTATCTCTATTCTATCACCTACAATGCAGCAAGGTATACTCCTCCTGCTTTGGGGCAGTGTACTTCTCAGACAGGACAGGACAGGATTTTGCCATTTAATGAACAGTAAAATTCACATAGAACTCTTTCTCTACATGTTATGTTACACTTACCATAAGGCTTCACAAGAGGCAACAATTCTGTGCAAACATTCCTGGTTCCAAAAAAGTTTGTCTTGAGTGTAACCTCTGCTTGGACTGCAAATGGAGTGGTGTCGAGAACTTTTTATAAGAGGTGGCAGTGAGGGAAGGAGGAAAAAAAAAAAAAAACACACACACAAAACAGAGTTATACTACTGTTTGAAAAGAAGTTACAGAACTACTGAAAAACAGAAGTTTATCTTAGTACCGTCTATTTTTTCAATAACTGGGAAACCTTCTATTTTTTCAATAACTGGGAAACCTTCTATTTTTTCAATAACTGGGAAACCGACATTTTAATTGAGCAATTAAAATTGCACATGGAAGAAAAAAATGCAACATCACAAACACTAGCATTCTTTTTAAAGAAAATATCTAGCTATGCAAAATTATTTTAATAATGGGGCAATGATGTTTTCACCTCTCCTTAGCTGAAGATTTTAACTTTGCCTCAGGAGAGCATATCGTAACACTGAAGAGTCATTTGCAGACTCATGGGCTGTTTATGTTCTGCCTTTTATGTGGCTAGGATGAGGAAAGACTGCTCTCATAGGATATGCTGCCTCACCCTGCCTAATGCCTTTCCTGTACCTACTCATACCCAGCGTTCAGAGTTCAGGTAGCCACTGCCATAGCCAAGTAATCTTGGCAGTGCGTTCTCCTCCTAGGTGCACAATGGAGCACTTTGCAGCCACACTGCCTCTGTTGGGGGGAATCAGAAGGGAAGAACATCCTAAACCTAGGATGCTGCTTCTGAAGCTGCAGAAGTTAGACTACCCTGGTATTAACGTAAACCAGGGCAGACAACTGCTTCCTCATCCTGACTCGCATGTTGTCATGTCTACTGGATTGTCAGCTGAGACTCGGGGGCCAGGGCAGTGTAGAATTGCAACAGGCATTGTAAAAGCAGAATAAAGAATGCAAAGGTAAGATTTAGCGCAGTCTGAAGGAGAAGGAAAAAAAAAACACACGCACAAAAAGCCACCAGTAAGTACGTCTCATAAATCATCCTCCTGAACTGACAGATCTGTGCTGACAC